AGTTGTTGCAACATCCATTTGAGGAACCTTCGAGTTATAGGCTCAAAGCTTAACTATGACCTAAAAGGCAGCTCATTCACTGTTTGATCTTTTCAAAACTAGACTATTGCAATGGACTTCTATATAATGGTTTATCTAATTTTCTCATAAAGAAACTCCAGAAGGTACAAAATTCCTGTGACATACGATTCTTGTTTGGTAGAAAAGCTATTAAAAAATGGGACAGTGTCACTCCATTCCTGAAAAAGGCCCATTTTCTTCCAATTTTCTTCCACTGTGCGGGGGGGGGGGGGGTGTGGGGGGGGCCCTATCTTAAGGGGGCGAAAAATCGTCGTTTGAATGTGGGACAATTTTGAAAAACTTAACTGAGGTACTAGCAAAAGTGCACGTTTTGCTCTAGAAACACACGTTTTTAGAGATTTTACCGGCGTATCCTCTAAAGTCACCTAATTTGTTCAATTTTAGAGAGGGGGCGCCAACACTCAACAGGCAACGTTAAGCCACTGTCACCAAATGCATTGACATCAAGAGTCAACCTGTAAGTGTGCTACGAACTGAACAAGACTATTTCCTCCTAAATTTTCCTCCTGTCTCAAATTATACATAGTAAAACTAAAAATATTTTGGAGCCCTACTCCAATATTTTACGGTTGACCGCGGCGTTTCCTTGGTTACAGCCTATCGCGACAGCTTGTGGACCCATTAATGCCGTAACCTGCGAAGTATAGCACCTAGACAATCGAACAATAGCTTAAAAGATGCAGAATACGTATGTTTATATTTAACTTATTGATCAAGTATGTGTCTAAAAAAAACTATCTGTTCTTAGATTTTGGATAAACTTTAGTATTTTGGTACAGCCGAGTTAATGTCATACTACTTTATGGGATATCAACAGAGAGTAGTAAGATTGATCTGGATGATTCCCCATTTGGATGATTCCCCCATTTGGATGATTCCCCATTACATGGTCGTTTCCAACATTGGTGATTCATGTGTACTACTGTTTGACAAACTCTAATATAGTCAGTCACCTAAACCTTGTCAGATGTAACATTTTTGTTTTTTGAAATGCATACAATCTTTAATACAGGTGACCTGCAAAGAAGTTTTAACTTTTAATCTGATGGCTCATAATATACGTAATTATAATATATATTATATACGTAATCATAATTAGAAGTGTTCCTAATGAGAGCCACTATCATCTACAGCAGTTATCCCAAGACAATATCAACATTTCTAGTTTTAAGTTTACACCATTGGTCAAGTCTTTAAGACTATTAAATACCTTAAGAACGACAAATTTGGTCTACCATAAATTTAATCAAACTTTAGACTAAAATTGTTGTAAACCAAATTTCAGTAGATGAATCCATAAATTTGGAACATGGGCACATCGCAGTATTGGCCGTATTTGAGTGTTGGGAAGGCTCAGTTCGGTTTTCTAAGATGGATATAGCCGTACGCTAGGCCTAGGAGCCATCAAAAGTCGTATAAAATTACCCATGGAATGACCAGAAATGAACGAAAATGAACATTCTTCTCAAAGTGCTCCGAATGGTTTAAAATGGGTCGGAAAGTGTTTACATTGATCCTAGGACCACTCAAACCAAGTTTGTGCACCACTGCATGTCTAGAATCGATGTTACCAATGTTCCAAAATGTTTCAATTTTGGGACAATAATCCTCCTGAGAATCCAGATTTTTGGAACATGGGAACATCGAAGTATTGGCTGTATTTAAGTGCTGGGAAGCCTCAATTTGGTTTTATAAGATGGATATAGGTAAAAACTAGGCCTAAGAGCCATCAAAACTCAAATAACATTACCCAGGTTCATGGAATGAACGAAAATGAACAAAAATGAATATTGTCCTAAAAATATTCAGAACGGTTTAAAATTGGTCGGAAAGTGTTTATATTGGTCCTGGGACCACTCAAACCAAGTTTGGGAATCACTGCATGTCTAGAACCGATGTTACCTATGTTCCAAAATGTTCCAATTTTGGGACAATAATCCTCCTGAGAATCCAGATTTTTGGAACATGGGCACATCGAAGTATTGGCTGTATTTAAGTGCTGGGAAGCCTCAATTCGGTTTTCTAAGATGGATATAGGTAAAAACTAGGCATAAGAGCCATCAAAACTCAAATAACATTACCCAGGTCCATGGAATGAACGAAAATGAACAAACATGAATATTGTCCTAAAAATGCTCAGAACGGTTTGAAATTGGTCGAAAAGTGTTTATATTGGTCCTAGGACCACTCAAACCAAGTTTGGGAATCACTGCATGTCTAGAACCGATGTTACCTATGTTCCAAAATGTTCCAATTTTGGGACAATAATCCTCCTGAGAATCCAGATTTTTGGAACATGGGCACATCGAAGTATTGGCTGTATTTAAGTGCTGGGAAGCCTCAATTCAGTTTTCTAAGATGGATATAGGTAAAAACTAGGCCTAAGAGCCATCAAAACTCAAATAACATTACCCAGGTTCATGGAATGAACGAAAATGAACAACAATTAATATTGTCCTAAAAATGCTCAGAACGGTTTAAAATTGACAAAAAGACGAAGACTGAACCCCGACACAACGACAAAATCTATTTTCATCTCCACCTGGTCCGTTAAAACGGTCTGTATAAAGAAGTCTTACTGTAGAGTAATTGAGTAGTTTATTTTTATATACAGATTTTATAATATACAGTATTTTATAACATACAGTATTTTTACTAGATAATAAACGTAGAATTTAATTTGCTGTTTACTAAATGACTGTTGTCTTTGTTTTCAAAATACACAGCACACTCAAATACAGCTAGTGATGTCAAAAATTTATATCAAAATATTGGAGGATTATTAAAACCAAAATATTTGCCCAATAAAATAATTTCTGTCTAATTGTACATAATTCTGATTGCAACTTTAAGACCCTGTTGGACGAAAATATTGACTCTTTGCCACCATTTTTTAACCATTCTGAGCGCTTTGAGGAAAATTTTCATGTTCGTTGTTCATTCCATAAATTTGAGTAATGTTATTCGACTTTTGATGGCTCCTCTAGGCCTAGTTTTTTTATATCCATCTTAGAAAACCGAATTGAGGCTACCCAGAACTTCGATGTCCCCATGTTCCAAAAATCTGGATGCTCAGGAAGATTATTGTGACAACATTGGTAACATCGGGTCTAGACATGAAGTGATTCCCAAACTTTCCGACCAATTTTAAACCGTTCTGAGCATTTTTAGGACAATATTCATTTTTGTTCATTTTCGTTCATTCCATGAACTTGGGTAATGTTATTTGGGTTTTGATGGCTCTTAGGCCTAGTTTTTACCTATATCCATCTTAGAAAACCGAATTGAGGCTTCCCAGCACTTAAATACAGCCAATACTTCGATGTGCCCATGTTCCAAAAATCTGGATTCTCAGGAGGATTATTGTCCCAAAATTGGAACATTTTGGAACATAGGTAACATCGGTTCTAGACATGCAGTGATTCCCAAACTTGGTTTGAGTGGTCCCAGGACCAATATAAACACTTTCCGACCAATTTTAAACCGTTCTGAATATTTTTAGGACAATATTCATTTTTGTTCATTTTCGTTCATTCCATGAACCTGGGTAATGTTATTTGAGTTTTGATGGCTCTTAGGCCTAGTTTTTACCTATATCCATCTTAGAAAACCGAATTGAGGCTTCCCAGCACTTAAATACAGCCAACTTCGATGTCCCCATGTTCCAAAAATCTGGATTCTCAGGAGGACTATTGTCCCAAAATTGGAACATTTTGGAACATAGGTAACATCGGTTCTAGACATGCAGTGATTCCCAAACTTGGTTTGAGTGGTCCTATGACCAATATAAACACTTTCCGACCAATTTTAAACCGTTCTGAATATTTTTAGGATAATATTCATTTTTGTTCATTTTCGTTCATTCCATGAACCTGGGTAATGTTATTTGAGTTTTGATGGCTCTTAGGCCTAGTTTTTACCTATATCCATGCAGTGATGCTCAAACTTGGTTTGAGTGGTCCTAGGACCAATATAAACACTTTCCGACCAATTTTAAACCGTTCTGAGCATTTTTAGGACAATATTCATTTTTGTTCATTTTCGTTCATTCCATGAACCTGGGTAATGTTATGTTACTTTTGAAGGCCCCTAGACCTAGCTTGCAACTATATCCATCATTTACAATTATTTTTGGCACTATTTAGAGCTTATTAGGGCAAATAAATGCATGGGACACTTTTGGGACAATTTTGGGACATGTTCCAAAAATGTTCCAAAAATCTGGATTCATCAACTCCCAAATTTCATGAGACCAAATTTTTCGGCGACTTATTTTAAAGGAGACCAAAATTTCAGTAGATCATATTATATGACAAGAATATTGAATATTATTAAGCTTACATTATTTATAATTAATATAATGACATCACCGTTCCTACTGCACAAAACCGTACCAAAGTCCTATTGCAATTAGAGGGTTGGAGCTCCTTTTGGACATTACATTTTGATCGATCCATCCCAATGCATGCTCTGTTGAAACAGCTGAAGGATCATATCGACGTAAAATACGTCGTACCGACAGAAATGGTAAAGTCGAAAAAGGGTGAAAAAGAAACTGAACAGTGTATTGAAGAACTTACTGATACAGAGTCACAAACTCTAGATCTGATGTTACTGAAATTCCTGAGTAATTATGCATTGCAGCTTAATCTGTAATGCTCAGTTTAAATTTGTCGTTTTTAATGTAAATGGAATGGAAAATGGTCTCGAAAAGCCGAAAAATGTGACTAAATTGTTGTAGACTAAAAATTTGCGAAATTTGTGACTAAAATTATGGTAAATCAAAATTATGGTAACCAAATTTATTGCAAACCAAATTTATTGGCCCTAAGGTATGTAAAAGAATCTCCAATTTATAATTTTAAATAAAATGGTGAGGAAAACAAAGTTTCCCATGGAAAGTTACATCTTGAACTAACCTGTATCTCCTTCTGTTGCAAGAGGCATATCAGTTGCTCGATAAGGTTTGTTTTTGCCCCATATACTGCCAAACATCACATATCAAAATATCCTACCTTGAGAAAATTTGAGTTGTTATCATCTCAATTCTTTAGCATAGCAGAGAGAAAAGGAAAAATGAATCCTATAATTTAGGATGCTAAAAATCCAAAGGTGTTGTTTGAATCAACATGAGGGGGGGTCAGGTACTAAGTTTTGAACATAATAATTAAAACACCCACCCCTTTTGCCAGTACTAACTGTTGAGAAATCACGGTACTAACTGTGTCTTGGTGTATAAAATAAGATACCCACCCATAAATTGCTTTAAACAGCTCATTAAACATTGGGATATGGGCAAATTATGCCCATTATTTAGTAGGGTATTTGTTTTCAGTGTAGTCGAATTAGATAAAAAGTTACAAACATTTTTTTTTAAACCCAAAAAAACCCTCAAAACCCAAAAAACCCATTCTTAAAATTGAAATTTGAGGTAAAATGGGGTTGTAAACCCCCTAAGTATCATGTACTAACTGTTTTTCTGGGAAATGAGAACTGTTCAACGAAGCATATGAACGTATTATATCTTAACTGAATGGCAAAAAAGTATATATTCTTGGTGATTTCAATGTCAACATTTTGAACGACCCATCTCCATCAGAGGACAAATTCCAAGAAACAATATTCAACAACGGCTTCATATCAACCATATCAGTACCAACTCACCAAATGCCTGGCTGTTACAGGACTTGATATCTGATAAGATCTCCCACCATCACCCTAAGCTATATTCAACTTGAGCTTTCCCCTGACTCTGTGCCAATACCTGGTTCATCAGACAAAATTACTGGATACACTACGACTATAGTAATGCTAACCTAGAGAAGCTCTGTCTTGAAATAGAAAACGATATAGATAGGTTCCAGCATAGCTGTGATACATTTGACTCTTTCATGCAGTTATTTCAAGAAAAGATAGATTTGGCCTGCAAACTTCTTAAAGTAAAAAAGTAAAGTAAAGTAAAAATTATGACATAACATCATCACTAATGTCTACAAAGTATCATTGCACTACACGGAAAAGTATACAGTAACTATTTCTCCATCAAATTTAAAAGTAATAATTTATCAAATTTTAATCATGAATAACAACAACATTAAAAAATTTAATTTATTCATACTTCCCAGTGGAGTAAAGATTTATAAAACGTTTCTTTGCTACATAAGGATGAAACCAAAGATAATCATTGTGTTTTTCCTTATTACTGACATAACTGGTACCTTCAATTCGGCACTATCCGTCGTGGAGTGGACTCCGCGAGCTCCGCCGGAATTTCAGAGCAGCCAAACCGGGGTCTATTACCCGTACGGCATATTATTACGCGCAGGTGCCACTGGTGGCTCGCCGACCAGAGACGCCCGGTGGCAAGCTGATCTGCATATATGACCTCCATATCTGAAAGCAGGTTGGAGTGCACTACGGAAAGCTTAGAAGCTTCTGTCACCTACTACTACTACTACTTAGTCCGCGGCGGACACTCCACCGACCCGCCGCGGAGCCGCGGCGGACTTTAAAGTCCGCTTGGAGTCCGCTTGGGTCCGATTGGAGTCCGCCAGAATAGTTTCGAGTCCAAACGAAATACATTTTGGAGGAGCTCCGCCGGAGTCCGCTCGGAGTCCGGCCTTCAATATAGTAGTGCCTTCAATTCTTTTTAAAACTTCTTTAGAAACATTCCAAAAATGAAAGTCATTTACAATACATTTAGAAATTATATCCTTTTTAAAACTTTCCAATCCAATTTTAAAACTCAAAACTGTCAAGCAGTTCTTTACCTCCGAAGGGAGTTTGTTCCAATAAGGAACAACTCGCTCTGGAAGAAAAGAACACTGAAGATTCTTGACCTTTGTCACACTTTCACTACATCTATTGGATGAAACCAGATTAAGACCTGATCTGCTTGGTCTGAACAAGTCTGAACTCTGAACCATAATCGGTCAAACCATCAATCACCTTGAAACTTTCAGGATATGTTCTAACGACCATTTAGAAACTTCTGGTCGATCAGAATTTTGAGATAGGCCTTTTAAATTTTTTTATCCAATTTTGAAAATCCCGGACCTTGAAAAATCGTCAAAAAACGAGGTCCAAGAATGTCCAGGAACATATCTTGAAAGTTTCAAGGTCAAAGGCGATTGCTCAACAAAATGTAGGAGAAGATAGATTTTTAAACTCGATTTTCAGGGCGCGCGATTGAAAATTGCTCGCGCAATACAATTACCATGAGCGCTGACCTTTGACCGGCAATAACTTCGGCTAGGAAAAATATTTTTCCATGGGATCAAAAGCAACAGATAGATAACACTCCCCTCTATCAAAAACAACTATAAAATCAATTTCGAGAGAAATTTCAAAAAGACCCCCCCCCCTGCCCCCTTAAAAGCTTCAATAAGGTCCCCATGTATTCGCCGCTCTGCCAGAACCACTAAACGTAATAGCATAATCAACCCTTGAATTACCCAAGGGCTAATTAATTCCATCGACAAGAAAGCTAGGTTGTATTTCGAATGGAAGAAGACGTGTACATGAAAACTAAGACCGAAATTTCTCTATACATTTTTCTGCTTCTGAAATTTTAGCTTTTCTTACAGCTGTACCAAAGGATTTCTAAATAATGTGATGCTGTGTGCACGGCGGGTTATATAGTGTCATGCATATGGTTGACGGATGTTATTCGTCTAAATTTCTTTGAAGTAGTGCGCGCCGCTTTCTTCTTGAAATGGCCCGGCCGATGGCAAGTGCACTCCTGCGCGCAGTGTTGTGACCTCCCTTCGTCGTAATTAGCTCGTATTCAGATTGAACAATTTTGAAGTCAAATAAATGTTGTTTCTTTTAGATTTGAATAAACAATAAGGATTTAGTCCGAAAGTAATTTGTCTACTAAATAACATTTTGAAATTATGAACAAAATTGGTAAAAATTTGCAATAGTTGTGACCAAAAAACTACGCGCAGAATTAGATATTTCTTCATAAACGCGTGAACATTTTTGAGTTTAACATTGAATATCTTAGCTCGGTTATTTTAATACTTAATTTTGAAGTATCTATCCGATGACTAAACATTTTATCTTTACGACAGTATAATTTTTTTTTGTATATTTGCTAAATTAAAAAAACAGTAGGAATAGAAACGTCGAAGGTCTTGCGCTTATTTCAGTCCCAAAATATACCCTAATCATAAACTTCATAAAACCCACTGAAAATGATGTCTACAGGCATATTTAGCCCTTACACCTTCCCAAATCATTTAGCAAGGATTCAGAGCCAGCTTTTAAAATTAGCTTTCGAATAACATTGTTAAGACATAAAACTATAAATAAATGAGTGCGTTTTTCTCTTTCGTCTCAACAGTTTCTCTTTCATTTTAACACTATATATTAGTAAAAGCAATCAGCGATCTTTATTCATCATTAAGGGAGTAAAATAATTGGTCCTCGTTAATGTTTAGTGTCTGATTACAGTTTCGGTCCGACCTCCACACCTGAAAAGATATTGGGGGTATTATCAGTTAAGTAAATGGAAAAATCATATTTGCATCATAAAACTATGAAAACTAATGTTTTTGAAGGCTCGCCTATTCGTTTAAGCAATCAAATAGTCAGTGCAAAGAACAGTTGAAGGCACCGGGAATGTTTCGAATAAATCCTCTGTCTACTATCAGACCACACACTCCACTATGCACTTCAATGTATCGTATAACAATGGCAGTTGAAATGTGTTCCCGCCATTTTAAAATCAAAAATGTGCGCAGCATCTTACGGGTTATGCGCCGTGATCAACGGTCACGGCGCAATGGTTCTGCGCCGTGACCATTGATCACGGCGCATACACATTGCGTTTAAATTGTCGTATAAATGTCCAGCTTCTCTGTGAAATTTGGTTGGCTCGACTAATTTAAAAATTTAATACTCTTTGTTTCATTCTAGTTTAATTGTATTTCTATTATGGTCGGAAAGAATTATAATGTTTTTTTCTTCTACTGGGCCACATTCAGCCTGTCATTCCGCCATATTTTCAACGGCTATGAACACTAACATATGAACACTTATATGAGCCTGAACCCCATGTAAGATGTTTCTTTGTAGTCAGCAGTGTATTACTATTTCGGTTTTATAGTCGCATTTAATTCAGTAAATATTAATGGTTTCTTCACCTCTTCAAAGTTCAATGTAATTGGTTTGGAGGTCATTTGAAATAAGGAGGTAAAATAACTCACATAGCTTCCAGCAAGTTTCACGGATATAGTGATTGAGTTTCTAGTCAACCTAGCCTCTTTGCCTGACTGATTTCTTGTTCGGCAGGGTGACTGCTTAAACGTCAACTTCAACCTCTTCCACTGCATCGAATCGTACTAGTAGAATTTGTACCTGAAATATTACATTTAGTTTAGCGACCTTCACATGTGGGTCAAACTGAGTAACATCTGCTTATTTAGTCAAACATCTAGTGTGGCCTTGCCCATCGGCAGCCTGTCTGATACTTGGAAGCTGGAGAAATGTCGACTCCAACAGTCCTACCAGCAGTTTTTTGATGACATGATAAGGGCGATTCAACCGCAAGTCAGGTCAGGGAGAGTTTGGAGACCAGACAAGGAACTAGATTGTGCTGAGAGGGACTTAGTCTGTGAAGCGGTGAGAGGAATGGTCCAGCCGTACAGCAGGGCAAGGATTGGTTTTGGAGAATGGAAGAAACCGTGGAAGAAGATGAACGCCCGGGAACAACAAGCTGAGGTCCTTCAGAGAGTTAAAAGAAACCTCGAGCATGAAAGTGAAGTTCAATGCGGCTCTCTTGAGATGCAGTCAAGATGGGGACAGTGGAGGGAAGAGGTTATGAAGACGGACATGAGCTGGCACGCACTCTTTAAGTATGGTGATTCGCTCACAGGTTTTATGCTCAGTGCGACTTATGGTACTGTGGTCACACCAAATTGATTTTTTTAAATAATCCAAATACAGGCAGCGATTTAGTCAACTTAAGTTTGTCATTTATGTAATTGAAAATTAAAAATGTATCCTTCATAGAATTTTGTATTATCTCGAGGGTATAAAATTGTCAATTGAGAAACACGTCATAAATCTAAACAAATAAGTTCATTAAAATAGCTATCAATCAGTAAATGAACGAACCTGTACATCTAGATGATGTAGGTCCACCACTTGTAACTTGTCAGACCGGTTGTTGTACAGCTTCCTGTTCAGCCTGAAAACACATTTCTGTTACCATGACAACGTTACCATTACAAGTTACCCGTGATGGGGAGTGTCATGAGGTTACGTGACTGATAAAGTTAATACACCTCCGCCCCACTAATAGTGCACTAACCTGGAAATGAGGGAGTAGACTCCAAAAAGTGAGGACCAGCGTCATGTCAGTAACTTAAAAAAAAGCCCGGGCCTATTTTAGATCCTGAAATTAGTGCCAGGAGTCTGTTTTGTGGATTATATTGTTGGCTTTAAAGGGATTTAAAAAGTGTAAACAGTAGGGTATTTATAAAACACATAATTACTGAACACGTGTCGAGATTAACTTAAAACGTGAAAAATCAATAATCAAGTAATCACACGTTTCCTTGCCCCTTCCCTTGTCTGAAAAGTGAAAACTATCCCCTCCCCTTTCACCGAACGTGTGTCTAATCACGAGCAATTTAAATCAAACACGTAAAAAAAAGTAACACATAAATGCGAGTACAGTGGCAGTCAACTACATGAATGGTAGTCAACTGATAGTGCGGAGAAACACGGCACACACGTTAGGCCAGGAATGTTCCGCGCCATATAAGGAATAATTCACTGGGTGTACAAATAAACAATGTGGTTGGGCCGTGAACTGGTGGTATTTTTACACAACTTGTTTTAGTGGGCTTGTCAAGTCCTGTGCTCGATTATAGTAGTATATAGAAGTGAGGCGGAACACCATAGTATGAAGACACAGGCACTTTTAGAGTCCATTTTAATATCACTTTTCACGCTCAGTGCTTCAGACTAAGTAAAACTGGCACTTTCCATTTTAACTTCGGCTAATTGATCCCTTACCAATATAAGATAAGTTGTAAATGTAAGTATGAATTGTGGGTCAAATAAGACAGTAGTTTTTAAGTTCTTATGTGACTTTTTAATCTATAATTCCCGGCCAAAAACTCAAAATTGGCCGGGGCCGGGAATAAACACCTCCCCCGGCGCCGGGAATCCCGGTCGTTCAGTGCATTACAGCACAGTAAACAGAGCCAAAGTTGTTACTTGTCGAATGCTAAAATAGAATCTCTAGAATACAAATAAATTCATTCGATCAACATCGAAAATGACGTCACAACGACGGTAATCATCAATGGTAATGTCAATGACGTCACGAAGCTCACTTGAAGTTTTTGCTGCTGTCTGAGTTTATCAGCTTGTTCACCAGTCTCTGTACTTCTTCAGCGTGCTGATTCAACAGCTCCTGCGGGAGATGCTTCTTTGTCTTTCAGCGCTTTTAGCTTCTCCTGAAATAATCGAGAGGTAATATTGTCTTCTTTCTCTAATAACAAACAAAATAATAAACAAACAAATAAGCAAAGTTTTGTCTGCTTTCAAGCTCAAAAGTAATAGTAACACTAACACGACTCACGAGCCCTTTAAAGCTTGTAATAATGTAAGGCGTGACTGTGTTTTCTATGGACAAAATTATTTCAACCTAATTTCTGCATGACAATGTTTAACCTAATTTCTACATGACTATGATCCAGCTATCAGGAAAATTTAAACATCTAATAATTTAAAATTATATCATTAGAACTAGAAGTTCATTTAAAAGTATCGAAATCTTAGTTCTATTTTTACAGTCACCTTTTTAACTATTGAGTTCAATGATTGCTAACTTTGATTTACTCTTTAACTAAAATTTGCTGAAATTAAAAAGTTGTATGATAAAAAGGTACACAAAATCAAAAACTTAGTCGATTAAACTCGTTTCTAGTCTGCGTCCAAACTTACTTATTATTATTAAAGTTAAACGTTAGAATTTATAAATAATAGTAAAACAGGATTTAATATCTCCCAAAGGATCAACCTCGTGAACTGTAACTTCGATTTAATAAAAGGCTCGAATAAAAGCAAAGAGGTTACTAAGTACTTACCTATTACCCCCATGACATAAGGTTAAAATTCTCCCCTAACGAGATATTGGCGAAAAACTGTCTCGCTCACGTGATATGACCGTATAAGGAAGTTAGCCTAATTTCTCTATAGTGTTTCAGTATATGCTTTTGTTAAGGATTTGGTTAGGGTTAGGCCGTTAGGGTTGGGATCTGATTAGAGGGTTATGGTTTCCGGGTTTCGAATAGTTGTTTAGGGCCATCTACAGAACGGGTTGAAGAAGTCACGTGACAGGCGATTGTAGAGTGATTAATCATCATCCACCATAACTGCCATCGTAAACAGTTAATTAATTAGGTATCAACAATCAAGCACAATATATAATACAGCAGGGCTGATTACTGCTGACACATTATAAAGCAACTAAGAGCAGAAATATGGATGATGGAATAACGCGAGGCAACAGTGAACTGGGCGCAATTAAGACGCGAACAGTGAACGCACGAGGTGTAAAGCTCAAAGTGCTCCTTCATCAATTATGTTCACTCTTAGACGGATTTGACACGCGAAATTGCGCGGCAATTATGCGCGGCGCGTAAAACTTTTGTAAACCTTTCGGACAAGGGTTAAATTATTTTTCTACTGTCAACACAGCCCAAGTTATACATGTTTTAATATCAAAAAATGTCCAATTTTTTTGTATCATTTTTAACTAATTTTTTTTTCAAATCGCTGCCACATCAAAATTATTTTACGAAAGTACATTAAATTTTCACAGAAAGCAAGTTTAATCGTTTTAGAACTATATTAAAAAAGAATTTAATATTAAAAATGTTAAAACTTTAAAATTATCAATTGAATAAATTGCCAACGTCCAAATATTTGTAAAATACGACGAAGAGGGGTCACAACACTGCGCGCGGCAGTGAAGTGCTACGAAGTAGTGCGCGCCGGGCCAGACCATTAACAATGGTCAAGTATATAATATGGTTGAATTTTTAATTTGAATTTATCTATACAGTAATTAATAAATGTTACATGTAATTGTAAAATAACAATTGAATAGACCCTGCGCACAGGGGGACTATAGTGCAAAGAAACTGCTACTAACTGCTGCTAACTGTTGCAAATGGCGCGCGCGCGACAGCAGCAGTTAGCAGCAGTTAGCAGCAGTCAACAGCAGTTAGCAGCAGTTTCTTTGCACTATTATAGTCCCCCTGTGTGTGCTGCCGTTTTCTCGGATTATTATTATTATTAAATCTAAAATAGCTAATAATTTAATAAATTATTAACAGGCCCCTTAACGTGGGCAATAATATACGCTTTATAAATTATATAAACAAATTGAAGTCTATTTTCCAATGTTGTTAAGTGTCTCTTTAGATCTGTTTTGGTCTTTCGTGGGAGTTCCCACATTTGTTGGTTGAGAATGCTCAACATAACATACATGATGCTTGACTGCTTTATTGACCCGGACAGGCACCGGGGGCAGACATCCCAACACCAGTGCGTTGGGACATAGTGTTGGTCTGCTTCAGGACGTGTTAGATCCTAGAGAAGTGTTATATATTCTAGTAATTTATTGTATGATTAACCGATATACTATTCAGGATGACTACCTGGGTTTTGGTTTTGGTTTAGCTTTTAGCTTTTAGTCTTGCGTTTACCTTGTCACAACGATTCATAACAATGGCGACGAGTCTGGTTTCGAACTTACGCTTATCCAAGGAAACTGATTGTGTCAGAGAGTGGCTGGAAATCTTTGAAAACGCCGCTTCTGTGTTCATTTTCGCACACGCAGATAAGTTACCAGATGACGCAAACGAGAAAACTGCTAAAAAAGCAGAACTCATGAGAACACTGTTAACAGTCAATCTGGGGCCTGACGCGTTGAAGAAGTTGCGTGCATTTACATTTCCAGATGAAATTAAAGACACTACCTACGCTACCCTGAGAAAAACTCTTGTTGATCGGTTATCACCCAAAACAAACATTGTAGCTCAACAGCAGAAGTTTATGACTTTAAATCAGATTGCTGGTGAATCCTTATGTACTTTTATGTCACGATTGAAGGAAGCTGCTAATGTTTGTCAGTTCGGTGATTTGTTTGATTTAATGGTGCGTACACGTTTTGTGGCTGGACTATCCTCTGATAGGATACGTGCTGAACTCATATCAGAATCTGCTACCAACGACACGTCTGCCAGCCTGTTTGATAAAGCTCAGACGAAGGAGAACGCTCTGCAAAGTTCAATGTCAGTCACAACACACTATGTTCAAAAACCCGGGAAGTTTCAAAAACCTCAAAACTCTAAGTTCCATCAGAAGGCCGACCTTAGCATTGTTTGTTCACGTTGTACTGTTCGTGGTCATGTTGCGAAAAACTGCAAAGTTCGTTGCAGAAACTGTCGCAAACCCGGACATATCGCGAAGAACTGTCGTTCTGCTAAGAAGCAATCCCATTGCGTTGAAGGGATTGGTGATCATGATGATGGCAACGCTTGCGCTGCTGATTATGGGTACACACACCAAGAGTTGGAGAACACGTTGTACTGCGTGGAGACGGCTGATCCTGTCCAGATTCCAGTACAGATTCCTGTTTCCAATGGTACTCTTCCTGCATCAGTTGTTAGTAATTTATCCAGTTGTATTGATTGTAATCAGAAACCATTTCTTAAAGTTAAGATTAATGATAAGATTTTGAAAATGGAGTTAGATACTGGTTCATCTTTAAGCTGTATAAGTAAGTCTGATTTTGCTAGACTAGGACTAACTGATTGCCAGATTGTTCCATGTTCCCAGAAATTGCGAGTAGCTAATTTTAATTGTGAAAGCATTGACTGCAAGGCCCTTGTAAACGTTGAATTTAGAGGCAAGAAATGGATTTTACCACTATATGTTGTCGATTGTCGGTTTCCCACACTCCTAGGTCGAGAGTGGATCATCCAGATGTTTGGTAAAGACTGGTTGGATCATATGATAGGACTTGTTGATGTTGAGCAATCTTACGCTGTCTCCAAGCTTCAGAGAGATGAATTTGTTAGTGAGATACTCCGCAGTCCTGTGTTCGATCCTGGTGTTGGAACTGTTAAAGGATTCGAAGCTTGTCTACAATTTAAGCCTGATGCGAGAGCAAAGTTTTGCAAGGCAAGGCAGGTCCCATTTGCCATCGTAGACAAGGTTGGGAAAGCCATAGACGAGTTAGTGAAGAATGGACAGCTGATTCCAACAGAGCACTCAGACTGGGCTTCACCCATAGTTCCTGTCATGAAAGCGGATGGTACGATTCGCATATGTGGTGACTACAAGACTACTGTAAATCCTAATCTCGACACAGCTATTTACCCACTTCCTACGATAGAAGATTGCTTGAGTAAGATTGTCGGAGGTAAACTGTTTACTAAGCTGGATATCAGAGCCGCTTATAATAGTTTGAAGTTGAGAGAATGTGACCAAAAGATTGTGACTTTGAACACACACAAAGGATTGTTCAGTCCTACTTCTCTACCATTCGGTATTTCATCTGCCGGACCGATATTTGAACGCAAGATTGATGATACCTTGAGAAAGACAGAGAATACAGCATGGCGTGTTGACGACATTCTAATAACTGGACCTGATGATGAGAGTCACATGAAGAACGTGAGAACGGTGATTACAGCACTAGAGAAAGAAGGCTACAAATGCCGGCTAGACAAGTGTGTTTTCATGGAGCCTAAGGTTACATTTCTTGGCCATGAAGTATCTGCTGACGGGATAAGACCGCTGAGTTCGAAAGTTGAAACCATAGTGAGAGCACCGTATCCTACTACTAGAGCGGAGATGATATCATTTCTTGGTGGTGCACAGTACTATTCACGTTTTATTCCCAACATGTCAACAGTTGTTGAACCACTTAACCGTTTAAGACCCGCTGACAGTATTTTCCACTTTGGAGATAGAGAAAAGAGAGCTTTTGATGAGTTAAAAGCACTGTTATCGTCTGACTTGGTTCTAACAGTCTACAACCCTGAGCTGGAGTTAAAGCTTGACACGGACGCTTCATCCGTTGGTTTAGGAGCTGTTATGTCACATATTGATGAAAATGGGACAGAGCTACCGATCGAGTATATATCTCGAACACTGACGAAATCGGAGAGAAACTATTCCATGATAGAAAAAGAAGCATTGGCAATAGTTTGGGCGACTAAGAGACTGCACCGTTATCTTTTTGGACGACCGTTTACCCTAGTTACAGACCACAAGCCGCTGGACCACAAGCCGCTGGAATCTATCTTTCACCCTAGTCGTGGGATTCCTAGCATGGTGGCAGGTCGTTTACAACGATGGTCATTGTTCCTAAGCGGTTACACTTACAAGATCCAGTTTCGACCCACTGGTAAACATTGTAATGCTGATCTATGTTCCCGTTTTCCACTGCCTTTAGACACATCGGCAGAGACAAGAGAGTTTGATGACGAGTTAACAGAGGAGTTTGAAATGAAACCTCTAGATACTGTTTTCAGCGTGCACTACTTCGGTGATGACAAACCTTTGATTGACGCTGAGTTAATAGCTAGTCACACGAGAAGAGACAAAACACTTGGTCGAGTGTTACAGTTTGTTAAAGACGGCTGGAACGAGAAACCCCCTGTTGATGTCGAGCTGAAACCGTTTTACACACGTCGAAACGAGTTGTCAGTAGACCAGAACTGTATTGTCTGGGGATCTCGAGTTGTTATTCCAGAGAGTATGAGAAAGAGCGTGCTTTCAATGCTTCATGCAACACACATGGGCATTTCACAGACCAAAGCACTAGCGAGAGGCTATGTTTATTGGCCAAACATGGATGCTGAGATCGAGAAAATGGTTAAACTATGTGAACCATGTCAACTAAACCAGAAGAAACCCGCTAGATCTACACCACACCCATGGGCTAAAACTATGGAGGCTTGGGAGCGGATTCATCTAGATTTCTGTGGACCCTTTCTTGGATCTATGTGGCTGATAGTTATCTGTGAATCGTATTCAAAATGGTTAGAAGTTGTTAGAATGACGAACATTACAAGTAAGAGAGTGATTCAAGAGTTACGAGACATCTTTAGCCGTTGGGGACTACCCAAGATACTAGTATCAGACAATGGATCGAGTTTAACTTCAGAAGAGTTTAAAGTATTCACGAACAATAACCAGATTCGACACGTGCTTATTCCTGCTTACTCACCTGCAAGTAATGGACAAGCAGAAGTTGCAGTCGGACTGTTTAAAAGAGCTATGAAACGGATGATCTTGAAAAACCCTGACGTTATGTGTAACCTGGCTGATTGGCTGCTAAACTACCGCAACACACCACACACTACTACCGGAGTAGAGCCTGCAGTTGCGATGATGAAACGACGGACGAGAAACGCCTTGAGTTTTCTACACCCGAGTTCGAGTAGTAAGTTTGCCAAAGTTGCTTTAAACGATCAGAACACGATTGCTGAATCGAGACTTC